TCGACTACTCTCAGTCGGAGGAAAGGATGCGTTGTTGGACAGGATGCGGTGTTGCGCAGAGAGGAAGGATAGAGGCTGTGACTTTGGCTTAGCTAGGGTCAAAAGGGTATCATCACAACCTCCTGCACGAGGGCCAGACCTGATGCATTTACACCATCTTGCGTTTGGCACGGCACGCCAAGTAAGACCTAGTTCCTTCCCCACCGACTGTATAACACGCAGCTTCCAAGTGCTTACGGAAGAAATCGCCAGCGCCACCACATCCGCGGCGTATCTGACCCAGAAACTAGCGTGGGTCGAAGACAGACTGGGGGTAGCGCGCCTCTTATCCCTCTTCTCGCCGGCGGGGCACTCGCTGGTTTCCTGGGCGGCAGCGTGCGGACAGACGGAGATTGTCGAGATCCTGATGAGTCACGGTGCGACGGCGGAGCTCGGCGACGAAACCCGAGCCGTTTCCGCCTCGATCATACAGGTGCACCCTTGCACGGGTATGCGGTTGTGGGTGCCTGTCGGTACTTGTACGGTTTGGATTGTAAAGGTAGCGAGTATCTGGTGCGGTGAGCGTCTTCTCAATTATCCCTACCGTTAGAGGTCTGTTGACGACACACACATCCCTTTCAAAAGGGAAAGCAAGGGGTTTGGGAGGGGTTCGGGGAGAGCATACACTTGAAGAGCTTTCTCACGTCAGCGGTATATCAGGTTGTGCATCCGCCCCGCCCCCCTTCTTCACCACTCCTCCTGCTGACCTCGTTGCCCTCGTCCCCGGCACAACTCGGGTCACCCTCGTCATCAGTCTTTCTATCGATTCCGAAGGTACCTCCGTCAAACATCATCAACAGCTGCAGCTGCAGCACCCAACCCCGCGACTACAGAACACAACCTACGAAATATCTGCAGCAGTGGCAACAGCAGCGACGACGACGGTGGTCATGCGGAGGCGGCCACGTCCGGCACAAGGAAAGAAGCAGAGGCGGTGCCACATGGTGAGGGGCGGCACCCTTCTTTGACGAGCCGGCGAATGGAGTACGTGATAGAGATGATGGGGAGACAGGCCACCCTGGCACGGCTGAGGAAGAGCCGACGGCTACCCCTCACCGAGGCTGCGTACAACGGACATCACGAAGTGTTACAGGTTGGGCGGAATTGGGTTTGTCTGTCCGGTTGGCGGTACTCAGTCGCCGATCGTGCTCTAAGACATGTGGCAAGACCACTACGTAATACAACCCTTCGTGAGTGTAGGCGAGCGTGCACCTGGGGAACGGCTTTCGGCTCGGACGATAATCACCCTTATCGCTTCTAGTGATGTTCTTTACAAACGGGCGAGTCATGCACGCACTATCGTTATCGTTTAACCCCCTTTCCCGTCCCATCCTGCATACCGGTTTTCCCTCAGCGTGCGGTAACCCCCACACGCCCCTGAACTAAACCTGAATTTCTAATGCGGCACACGACCCAAAAACACTTATTTCAATACACCTTCCGTCCCCACCCCTTCCTTCTCCATGCTCATCCCAACTACCACCAGTTCTTCCGCCTTCGCCGCACACCCCTTTACGGTGCGTCACGCACGTGGCTATATCCTAGAGCACCCCCACCTTTCGCACCTCTGCGGGATGGGACCTCCGAAAACTACAAGCTGGAGGCTCCGATGAGGTGATAATACACGACCTGAAGCATTCCGACTATATGTTTTGGTCGTTCAAAGAAAAGACGTCGGAATGAGCGCTCGAGAATGCAACAACCGACTGTGAAAACTAGACAAGGTAAGGGGGGGGGGGG